AAGCCATCCACAACTTTGCCCCCAGCTACATCACCAACCTGGTCTCAAAATATCAACCAAACCGCTCTCTTTGATCCTCCCAAGACCTTCTGATCTCTAGTTCCCGTGTCACCTCCTCCCATGCTCAGCTCCAGGACTTCTCCCGAGCTTCTCCCATCCTATGGAACTCCCTACCCCAATCTGTCCAGCTGTCTCCTAATCTATCCACCTTTAGACGATCCCTGAAAACCTTTCTCTTTAAAGAAGCCTATTCTGCTTCTACCTAGTAAACCGCCATTTATTTCCTCCATCAGCTCATCCCCCACAGCTATTACCTTTTGGTATCACTCAACCCTTCCTCCTAGATTGTAAGCTCTAATGAGCAGGGCCCTCTGTTTCTTCTTGTAACAAATTGTATTGTAACTGTAAATGTCTACCTTCATTTTGTAAAGCGCTGCTATGTAAATCCTGTATAATAATATTAATGTGCAGAGTGTCTCCACACGGTATCTCTTATCAGGAGATATGGGGGGGGGGGGGGGGGAACTGGACGAAGGGACAGATCAGAGAAGGATCAAAGAAGTTAAGATCAAACTGCGTTTTACACAGTGCAGAGGATTAACCCCTTAGGTTCCACAGTGAGTATAACAAGCATGCTTTACTGCATATACAGACTGATTTTACTGTTGTGGGATTAGTAGCACTTTAAGTTTATCATCTGAACCATAATCTATAGTCCAGGTGGGGCACCTGTACTCTTGTCATTCTGTGATCATACAGGAGAATTGGGGTGTATTGCAGGCCAGGGGGAATTTTATATATCCTTTGTAACTTTTGTTTAGTGCTTCCTATAAAGGAACATGTAAGTGTGATATTTGTATGTTTGTATACTAAAGTGTTATGAACACTATCGTTTATGCTATCTGCATTCTGTTTTTGAATTTTTGAAAAAGCAAATTGGTAAGAATGCATATGGGAACCGATAGGAAGTTTCTAACACTCCTATGTTTGGTATACGTCCAGAAAAGCAGAGCTTCCATATTTACATAAAATGTGGCATCATTAGATACTGGCACCAGAGCATGTGTCCCAGGTCTCATACCTATACTGGCTATTATTTGTGGTATAGTGTTTAATGATTATCATCATGCCCCTTGTGCCATAGTTGCTGTCTGATGGCCACTTGCACACTTTGAGGTCCTTAGATCCTTACAGTCATTATTTGAGCCTCTGTAAAAAATGTAATATTTAACTGCAAAAGCTATTATACAGCTCTAAACTTTTCATCAAACCTCTAAATGATTGCATTCACTATTCTGAGGAGCTGGTCAAAAGAAAAGGTAGCGGTCAGAAACAATAATTTGTGGCGTAGTATTCTTTCACGGTCTGTGTTCTTGGCAGGGGTGCAGGACGAGTCTTTTTTGCCTTCAGACTTTGTGCTAAATAGTGTTCTCCTTTCTAATGTCAGAAACTTTGAAGGTACGGGTTATTTATTGTGCCACCAGTGGTATAACTATCATCATACTGTCATACAGTCATAGCAACTCATGTGACTGTTTTAGGCCTGAGGGTGGGAAAGGGGTCCTACAAAGTTTAATGTGCCACCAGTGATATAACTAAAGTAACAGCAGCTCGTGTGGCTGTTATGGGGCCTGAGGGTGGGAACAGGGCTCGACTATGAAAAGCATCTGATGTCTCTATTCCAAAAGAGCTGATGTCAAATGCACTGGATCATGCTTCGGAATCAGGATGTTGCTGGTTACAGATCTCCTTTGCATTCCCCCATCTCTCTGTATTGTTTGCAGATCATCTGGTCATCGTGGCCAACACTATGATTTTAAACCTGTATGCCTAAAACAGTATTCCTGAGGCTGAAAGCCCCAGAGTGTCTTCTCAGCTAAAAAGTAATAAGCCATTTGAGTTTAGGGATTTACTAACAATTATTATATAATATAACATTAAAATAACATAGATGTTTTTGTTTACTGACTACTGAACCTCAAAGGTCAGCACCTCAAAGGTAAAAAGTGTAAGAAGACTTTCTCCAAAACTTTAGAGTTTTATACTCTGACAAAGATCAATTGATGCTGAAAAATGCTGTTGAGCTAATGATTAGATGGAGAATTAGCCTCAATTCACACTGCATTGCATGTGAGTCACATAGGAACAACACAGCATTCCTGTGTAATTTACATTTGATTCAGTGCAGTGCAGTTTGAGCCCATTCATTTTAAATGGGCTCAATTCACACTGCGTTGCACCAAAGGCGTGCATGCACTTTTTTTGGAGCTGCAACGCAACTGAATCGTATGGTCATTTTATTCCATGCGATCCGGTGCAGGCAAGCGCATTGCACTTGCAACCTGCATTTTGTATTGACTCCCGCAGCAGATCACAAGGGCAGTGCAGTTGTAATGCGGTGCAGGAAAATTTGCATGGATTGCGGCTTTTCCCACACAGTATTAGTGTGAACTGTGGCTTAAAGTGGAGTTCCACCCAAAAGTGGAAATTCCGCTTTAATGCTTTGTCCCCCACTTCCCATTAAAGATTGGCACATCTGGGGTTTGACAGGTACCCACTTCTGCTGCAATCACCTAGGTGATCAGAAGCGGAAGTTGTCCTCCCTCCCCCCCATAGTCTTCTGGGACATGTCCCAGAAGACTACGGGGCCATTCACAAAGCACAGCACTTCTCGCTTATGCACAGTGGGCATCCGGCTGTGAAGCTGCAAGCTGTCACAGCCAGGTGCCCACACTAAAGATGCCAGCGCCAGGGAGAGAAGACGGCTGGTGAAACCAGTGGTGGTGAGAACACCGCTGGACCGAGGGACAGGTAAGTGGCTATATTTTTAAAAGTCATCAGCTACAGTTTTTGTAGCTGCTGAATTTTTTTTTTTTTTTACAGCTGGAACTCCGCTTTAAGGTTAAAAGTGAATTCTCTGCACTGCTCCATTTTCCTCCTGCAACTGCTGAAAACCGGCTTCTCCTCATTTCTCTCCCACTGGCATTCAGCAACCGCAGGAGAAAAATGTTCATTATGTTATTCAAAATAAAAAAAATTTAATTCTGCACCATTTAATTTCATTGTGGCTCATGACTGGCTACCAAATCATTTAAGTGGCCCTCAATCTTAAAAAGGCTGAGCACTCCTGAGTTAGAGTACCAAAAGCCAAAAAGGTTTTTTTGTTTTATTTGCTAGTAACGAAAAGTATTTAACCTTGTCAGATTTGTATTGCTGTGTCCCAACAGAGGTTATTCACTCTCTCTGTTTGTCTTGGGCTGCATTCACACTGTGGACAGTTTGCTGAGTTCAAAGGCGGCTAAATGCCACTTCTGAGTGCTGCAACGGTTTGTACTTTGGCTGCAAACAAACTAGATAGGTATGGCCAATTTATGTGCAGCCAGAACTCTTCAGAAGCGCCAACCCTGGATGCACACTGTCTGCATCCAGTTTTGGTTGGAGGTTATATTTGCCTATTTATGCATGGACAAACAGTTACCTGCAAACAGCAGCAGTGCTGGCCATTGATTTGTACAGAATATAAATTAAACAGCCAATGCTGGCCACACAGAGTGTTTGCAGGCAGCATTTACAACCACTGGAAATAATCTACTGGATATTTTTGGTGGCCACCACTACTATGTGAATCTTTCCTTAAATGAACATCATTCCTAGGACTGAAAGCGCGAGAAATCCAAAATGTTATGTTGTCACAAGAACAGAAGAGGGAAGCTCCTAACTGTAACACTTGTTACAGTGACAACTGTCTAAGATTTCCATCCCATTGACTTAAGTGTCTATCAGACTTCAAGTGAAATCTTTCCATTAGGATACAGATGGCAAACACAACATTATAGGACTTTTAACCCGCCCCCCCTTATCTTCAAAGCAAATGTTTTGGCTTTAAAAATGTTATTGTGCCCTATGCCACTGAGCCTGTTTTTCCCAATTTATATTTTAGTCAAGGATATTGCCTTTTCTCTAGAAGCTGTAAAGTGTTTGTAGATAAAATAGTATTACAATAGAGAAATGGCAGCTTCCATAATTCTGTGATCACATGTTCACTTGATAATGGTACAAAGACTTAAGCTGGCCATACCTTGTTCCGTTTTTTTTTGTTCAGACTGGGCTGAATGAAAAAAAAAAATTCAACTGATTTCCCTATCTACACATTCGAGGTGCATGGGGGAATCCTCCCCACTGCACTATTTTATTCTCACACTGGGGGGACTCATAATACATTGATCAGCGCTGCAATAACTAATCAAGTGGCTTTTATCCGACAGGACGGTTAAACAGAAGTTAATAGGTAGGTCGATTTCTGTTGAGCTGTTGTGGCCACATATTAATTGAAATTGAATTGAATTTTGACCCATCTATGGTCATTTTTTAGTCAATTTGTTTAAAAGAAGCTGAATAACAAATGCATTCTTATATCTTCAGGCATATATCTGCTCTTTTCCACATTGTTTACACTAGAGAGGACCCTGATAGATGTCTCCCATAAGGTTTTTCTCTGCTATTTTTCACACCTAGCAAGGCTTAAAGTATCAAGCATTTGGATATAGATCATATAACCTCTAGTTTACAGCTGCACTACAGCAAACAACTAAATAGGGAAATGGCATATATACAGTATATGAATGATGTTTTTCTTGTCAAAGGATTTCTAATTCTGTCCTGAGATTTTCCACAGCTCTTCTACACAATGCAGCCAAGAAGATGACACTTCTTTCTGTGTTACAAGTAAACCTGCTCACAGGCTACTGATTGACCATCTATGAGAAAGCAATAGTTAATTGAAAAAAATAAAGTAACTAAAAAAAAAAAGGTTAGTGTCCCCCATATACACGCACATAAGAATTTAAACGCATGTGGCAGGTGTCCCTATGTATGAAAACAAGTGTGCTACATACCGTATTTTTCGCTCCATAAGACGCACCTGACCATACGACGCACCTAGGTTTAAGAGGCTGAAAACAGGAAAAAAAATATTCTGAACTAATAGACTGCAGACATAGTACAGGAGATGACCAGAGACTGCGGACATAGTACAGGAGATGACCAGAGACTGCGGACACAGTACAGGGAATGACCAGAGACTGCGGACACAGTACAGGAGATGACCAGAGACTGCGGACATAGTACAGGAGATGACCAGAGACTGCGGACATAGAACAGGAAATGACCAGAGACTGCGGACACAGTACAGGGAATGACCAGAGACTGCGGACACAGTACAGGAGATGACCAGAGACTGCGGACACCGTACAGGAGATGACCAGAGACTGCGGACACAGTATAGGAGACGACCAGAGACTGCAGACACAGTACAGGGAATGACCAGAGACTGCGGACACAGTACAGGGGATGACCAGAGACTGCGGACACAGTACAGGAGATGACCAGAGAATGCGGACAGTACAGGAGATGACCAGAGACTGCGGACACAGTACAGGAGATGACCAGAGACTGTGGGCACAGTACAGGGGATGACCAGAGACTGCGGACACAGTACAGGGGATGACCAGAGACTGCGGACACAGTACAGGGGACGACCAGAGACTGCGGACACAGTACAGGGGACGGCCAGAGACTGCGGACACAGTACAGGAGATGACCAGAGACTGCGGACACAGTACAGGAGATGACCAGAGACTGCGGACACAGTACAGGAGATGGACCAGAGACTGCGGACACAGTACAGGAGATGGACCAGAGACTGTGACACAGTACAGGAGATGACCAGAGACTGCGGACACAGTACAGGAGATGTCCAGAGACTGCGGACACAGTACAGGAGATGACCAGAGACTGCAGACACAGTACAGGAGATGTCCAGAGACTGCGGACACAGTACAGGAGATGACCAGAGACTGCAGAAACAGTACAGGAGATAACCAGAGACTGCGGACACAGTACAGGAGATGACCAGAGACTGTGGACAGTACAGGAGATGACCAGAGACTGCGGACACAGTACAGGAGATGACCAGAGACTGTGGACAGTACAGGGGATGACTGCTGACCTTTGGGGAGGGGGGGGAGCGGGTACCTGAATTTGACAGGTACCCTCTCTTACTTCCGCGGAGTTGTTCTTTGACCTTACCTGTTCCTCTATCCAGCCGCACGCTGTCTTCCCAGCTTCTGTATTGTGGGCGCTCGGCTTGACAGCCGGGTGCCCAGTGCGCATGAGCGAGAAGCGCTGTGCTTTGTGATTGGTCCGGCGGCTTCTGGGACCTGTCGTGTCCCAGGTGCCGCCTTACCATTCACAAAGAGCACCGCTTCTTGCGCATGCGCACTTGGCACCCGGCTGTCAAGCCCAGTGCCCACACCACAGAAGCCGGGAAGACAAGTAAGGTCCCGCTACAGAGCTGAGCGGCCGGCCCGGTATTCTGACACGGCGGCGGTGGAAATACCGGACCGGCCACTCCATATTCGCTCCATAAGACACACTGACATTTTCCCCCCTTTTTTGGGGGAAAAAGAGTGCGTCTTATGGAGCGAAAAATACGGTATATAAAGTATGTTGTCATGATCATCGAATTTGAGATCAATAATTCTAGGGCCATCATTCATGGTTAAAACCACTTCAAGTCCGCACACTTTTACCCCCTTCCTGTCCAGGCCAACTTTCAGTGCTATTACACATTGAATGACAATTGCGCGGTCATGCAACACTGTACCCATATGAATTTTTTAGCATTTTTTTTGAGAAAGATAAAATTTTATTTTGGTGGTATTTATTCACCACTGAGATTTTTATTTTTTTTGCTGTATAAATGAAAAAGTCCAAAAATTTTGAAAACGTGTTTTTCTTATAACATTTTGCAAATAAATACTCTTTCTTGGCCAAAATGTATTCAGTTATCTTTTTAGTAAAAAACAAAAAAAAATTCTAATTTTTTTTTACATTCTTATTTTATTTTTTTATATTATTATTTATGGGTTTTTTTTCAACATACTATCACCCTAGCAGTACAGTGTCACCATACTTGTGGGGGGTGATGAAGATTTTACACTGATTGCTTTTACACCCATAATGGCTGTAAAATCAATCATTTCTCCTCTCTCTGGCTGCATTCTTGCAGCCATTGAGAAATACTGTGTGAGCTGTGATAGGTCACAGCTTGTCACATGGTACAAGGCTGTTGTGAATAGCCTTGTACCATGTGATCTCTGTGATCATTCACCCAGAGGTCCCATACAGCGATCAGTGTTCTGCTGTGTCCTCCGGACACAGCGGGCATCAGATTGTGGTGCCGCACGCTCCTAGGAAGCGTGCAAAAGCAGGGAAGCGGGAGGACGTTTATAAACGGACCCCTGCACTGCTCCTCTCCGGCCATTTATGTACATGGGCCAGAGGGGAAGTGGTTAAAGAAAATATATGGTCAAAATGTAAAATCATATATTCATTTCCATATTGTTTTTCAGTTAGTTTTAGCCTTATTTCTAGCCTTTTTCTATTAATATGAATAATCTTGAAGTTACTAACCTTACTTTTGTGAAGATCCCCACACATTTACTTCCTTGAATTCTGTGACACATATTCACTATGCCCTGTAAGTAGGCACTTCTTTCTTCTTTCACACACATTTCACAGAGCCTGCCTTCTGAACTACAGAAATGCTGTAAGGAGGAGTTGCAGGAGACAGAGTCAGTAGAGGACTCATTGCTTGCAGGAAGCAAGGTACCATTGGATATGTAGTCCTTATATATTGCTAAAGAGAATGCAGGGATGCAAGGAAGTTGGGGAAAGTGATGGCTAGGAGACAAGCAGCACTTACAACATGAAAGAAGATTTTTCAAGTAAGCTTATAATAGATTGTCAAAAATAACTATTGTTATTACAGTGCTGATGTTAGAGAAAGACAGTGTTTGCTGTGACTATATATCTCCTTTAACTGTAAATGGATAACCTGTAAACATTTTAAACTGATAGACAGTTTTGGGTATCAATGTTTGTCATTACATGGGTGTATGCAGTTTTAAGGCTTGGCATGTTGGATATCCATTTATTTGTCATGACCTCATATTTTATATTTTACAAAAAATTGGATAACATGCTGTGTTTGTGTGCAATAAGATTAATGTATTTTTACTAACAATTTGTGTTTGATAAACATGTGTGCTAATGTCATGTAAGATACAAATTGCAGCTACCACTATTTTATTCTCTAGGATCTTTGCTTTCAGAAAACATTAACTGTTTGGGGGTTTAACTAATATTCAAGCTTAAAATGTGCATTTTAAAATGTGTGAAAAAATAGAAAAATGGCTCTGGCAGACAAAAGGTAAAAAGAATGTGAAGTCAAGTAAAATTCAGGTGCTTACATTCGTTAAATGTACAATATAAATATATCTTAAATGATTTATTATTGAGTACAGCAATCCTCTTTATTTATGACTTTTATATCTGTGTGATCTTAGGTAAAGTGTAAAGCACTTCGCAGAAAACATACCCATATTCCTATAGACAGCAATAATCAATCTCTAAACCTATAGATGGAAATCAGATTTATGTTAATTTTTTTTTCTGTCATAACATTCCATCAAGTCATGGATTACAGACCATGATCATTATTACCACAGTCAGGAGATATATGGTTTCAACCTTATGGGGGGCCTGTACTCTTCACTAACTCTATAAACAGCATGCAGAGGCTCCCCTCTGTTTGCTTGGCTTTCTATCAGATGGTAAACACTGAAGATTGCTGTCTTTGAGTTACGAGAAATGTCGTTTGAATCCTATAATTTTATGAATTGGTCCCTATTAACTCTGTGTGAAACGTACATCTGTGTTATATATTAGAGTGGTGTATCTGTGCTGTTTTAGCTGTGTAAATATGGAAGGAAAGAGTAATAAAATCCATATTTCTAGAAACGAATGTTACAGTAAATGTATTTCTCCCTATATTTCATGCTCACCCAAATGCTAGCATTTTCCTATAATCATAGTCATCTGCTATAATGGTTATTGCTGACATAGATGCAATTCATTTCAATGGAAAATATTACAGTCTGATTTTAGCTGCCATGCTGCAACACTGGAAATATATTAACTGGTATACTGCACCTTAAAGTGGAACTGCAATGCATCTGAGCACCACAAACCAAAAATGCTATTTAATTCATTATTAATATTTAAAGGAAACTCACCCATCCATCCATGTCTCCATACTTTATTTTACTAAGAAATGACTTAGAAAAACATCTCCTAGTGTTTCTGGTAGTGACCATCTTGAGTAAAGGCAGATGATTCATGTTAGCATTTACTTCCTGAAATCCATCTGCCCTTAACTCAGGCATTGGCCTTCCCGCCTCTCCTGAAGACTACTGGGATGTATGGCATCAATTGCTTATGAATGGAAACCAGGAAGTGACTGGAGAAATGTCTAAAAAAAAGTTTAAGTCAATATGATATAGTTTCCTATCTATTTACTGTTCCTAGCAGCATAAGAATTAAAAATAGTCCATGTTGATTGAGAGAATGAAGTTCCGCTTTAAAGAGACACTGTCTTGCCCATTTAGGTCAAAGTGATGGTGTCTATTTAAAAGTCCTCCCCCAACCCACTGATACTCTTCTTGCCATAACTCCTTGATAGTGAAAGTACCCAATGTTTCTGGGTAAAGAGGGACATGTGATCTCCTCCCATGTGACAGTGCTCAGGTCTAGCCACTAGGATCAAACATTATCATATGATGGAGGGAGTGTCATCGCTGCATCTCCTAAGGTCCAAGTTTTATGGTGGCAGCCATGATGAAGGAAGGAATGGCAAGTAAATACTGGCAAAGTGGTTATTGGTGGTTGTATATGGGGCTTTAAATAGACACTATCATATTTCTCTGAATGGGCATGGTGACAGAGTCTATTTAAAGTTGAACCTAAGTAGAATATTTGCTATTTTATAGGGAAAATCCCTAAATGTTAATTGTACCTAAGCAGTAATCTGAAAAATCCATTATTTATTATGTATTCCACCTGAACTGTAGCAGTGCTCTTCCTGGTATTTGAGTGCCTAGGCACTCCTGTGCAAACATCTACACAACTGTATATCTGAATTGTGAAATCTATGGCACTTCTGAAAAACAGTGTAAATAATCTGCGAAGTTAACAATAAAAGTTCATAAACACATGAAAAATAAAATATAAATGCATGAAAAATAAAATAAAAAGTGATTGCTGTTGACACATCAATTCGCGCTTTTCACACACTTCAACAAAATGTATAATGTCCTCCACGATGCAGCGCAATTCCATCAAATAATGGAACCTTTTCCTTTGACTGCTAGGTTCAGGAGCTTTGAAATTATATTTGTTGATGTAATTAATGTGCTGCTCACTGTGCTCCTGGCTGGAGATTCTATTATGAGGAAACAAAGCCCTGCTCTACCAAGATGGCTTCCTCCATACAAAAACATTGTTCAGAACAAGACATGATAGGTCAGTAAGTGTAAAAGATCACTTTCAGGGAGCCTACAGGCAATACTGATGACTGGTGTTTTGCCCACTGCCTGCCTT